TGTAGGCTACCCAGTGAGTTTTTCTCAAATTGTTGCAAATCTCCAAAAATTTTTCCAATACATTTATTAATTCGTGGTTACCAAAGGTTCAAGGTTAACTTCTTTACTATCTTACTGTTTAACATAACTCACTTATTGAGCTATTATAAACAATCTCTGATGTTTCTTTATTTCTCTCCCTTCTTATTCCTCCTCCTCCGTTCTTTATATGTTGGGTGTTTTATTCTGTGCTCTTTTGTGTTTCCTTTGACTGCTTTTGCGAGTAGTTGATTTTATTTTTTGCCTTTAGTTAGTATTTGGTTGGTCTGCTTTTTTTGCTGTGATTTTATTTTCTCTGGTGACATCTCTTTAGCCTTAGGAGTGCTCCCATCTAGTGCAGTCCCTTCTAAAATACCCTGTAGAGGTGGTTTGTGGGAGGCAAATTCCCTCAGCTTTTGCTTGTCTGGGAATTGTTTAATCCCTCCTTCATATTTAAATGATAATCGTGCTGGATACAGTATCCTTGGTTCAAGACCCTCTGTTTCATTGCATTGAATAGATCATGCCATTCTCTTCTGGCCTGTAAGGTTTCTGTTGAGAAGTCTGATGATAGCCTGATGGGTTTTCCTTTGTAGGTGACCTTTTTCCTCTCTCTAGCTGCCTTTAAAACTCTGTCCGTGTCCTTGATCTTTGCCATTTTAATTATTATGTGTCTTAGTGTTGTCCTCCTTGTGTCCCTTCTGTTGGGAGTTCTGTGTGCTTCCACGGTCTGAGCGACTATTTCCTCCCCCAGTTTGGGGAAGTGTTCAGCAATAATTTCTTCAAATACACTTTCTATCCCTTTTTCTCTCTCTTCTTCTTCTGGTACCCCTATAATGTGGATATTGTTCCTTTTGGATTGGTCACACAGTTCTCTTAATATTGTTTCATTTCTGGAGATCCTTTTATCTCTCTCTGCGTCAGCTTCTATACGTTCCTGTTCTCTGGTTTCTATCCCATCCAATACATTTATTGAAAAAAATCCATGTATAAGTGGACAAACGCATGTATAAGCAGTTCAAACCCATGTTGTTCAAGGATCAACTGTAAATAAATTATGCAAGGTACCAGAAAGTTGTTAAGTGCTATGGAATGATCTGGCTGGATAATCCTGATAAAACAATGAAAAAACAAGCCTGCACAAGTCCTATTTAAAATAACGGAGGCAAAAGTAACATTCGAGTCCATCCCACAACTGCCTTAGTCTGCTGTAGAGATAAGCCTTTGACAACTTTCTGTAGGACCAAACATGCTAAGTCTGATTGTGAAATTCAGTTGGGCGACTTCTTCCCCTGTTACTGTCCTCCTCCGCTTTTTAAAATCAGTGACTTAGAACTTACTCCTGGTTTTACTTCCCTTGCAGCCAGGAGCACAAGAGAATACACAGGCCCTGGAGTCAGAGACCTGGGTCTGTATCCTGGCTGTGTATGCACCAAGCCAGGTGGCCTTTCAAGAGTGCCTCCTTTACCTATCAGACCACAGCCCCTGCATCTGGAAGGATGGGAACTGTCCTGAGGCTCTGTGTGATGACCCAGACTGAGGCCTGACAGCAAGGGCCTAAAGATGCGTCCTCCCTTCACCACCCATCTACATTTTCAGGCAGCTGGCCGGTGAGGCAACGTTCCTGCAGTGAAGCAATCACCAGGCACGTTCCAAGTGTAAGGACTCAGACTGAAGAAGCCGTAGGCTGGGTGTCAGGGATTCGGGGGCAGAGTAGGAATGCCAGATTCTGGAAGCACTGTCTGTAGAATGGGGTGGGAAGACGCAACCTAATCCCATGGCTTTCCAGTGTTCGCCTTGGCACCCAGGTTCCCCAGGTGTAAGCTTGTCCCCGTCCCAGCCTCCAGCACAGCACAGCACAGCCTACCTGCCCCTCAAGCACAACCCTCCTGCCTTCTGGTCTTTAGCTCTTCTCTCCAGGCCCTCCTCCCCACAGGCTGTCTCCTCTTCCAGGAACACTACCCCCACCCACAAACTCCACTTCAGCTTAAAAGTCACTTCCCAGGGATAACACTGCCATGGAACCACACTTCCCATTTTTGTACTCATCACAAAGGCCTGTTTGGCAAGCAGCTTCCCCTCTTGATGCCTGTTCCCTAAAGAAGCTCATCTGTGTTGTCCTGTGTGTTTCTCATGCTTTCCACGAGGCCTAGCCCTAAGCAGGCACCCTGCAAAGATCTGGGGAACTCAACCACATTGAAGAGTTCACCAGCATGGTGCACGTGGGCAGTAGCTGGGTGACCTCGGAGCACTGGTTCAGATCCCAGCTCAGCTGCAGGGGCCCCCGACTTCCTGGTTTGTTCGGTGCAGCAGTGGGCTGGCCTGCCTGTAGGTCCCTCTCACCTCCAGCTCACAAAGAGCCAGGCCAAGGAAAATCTGTTCACCTGCTGGACTCTGTGCTCAAGTTTTAGGGTGAGGCTGGAGGAATCGATTGCACAGCCCAGCATATAGCCATGGTTGTCCCCAGACCCCATCCTGCATGCTAGGGGCAAATAGGAATGAGCTGCCTTCTAGCCACATCCTAGCTTCCCCAAGCAGTACCTCCCACCCACTCGGCACTTTTTCCCTGAGGCCATTCACCAACACCCTGGAGGCCCAGACAAAGTTATCCAGGGAGGAAGCAAATGCCAAGGGTCAAGACACGACTGTTTTCTAGCCAATCTCAAAAATTCAAGCTAACGGGAACCTATCTTAGAATCCATCCTTGCCCCTACAGAGAGGAAGGCTGTAGAGGGAAAGCCACACTGCTCCATCCTGGGGGAAGTGTGTTGGAGTCCAGAAAGCCTTTGAATAAACCAGTGATGGACATTTTCCGAGCTGTCATCTGCAAACACGGAATGGCTGCTGGCTTCGTGGATTCCAGCTTTTGGAGACAGAGGCTCAAAGGCTGGCAGCGCACAAGCTACATCTGCTCATGGATGTGTTTTGCTTGGCAGGCAAGGTTTCACATTTTTAAAATATTAGCTCCAACATTTATGAAATCGGATCATTTCACATAAGAATCCCAATGTCTGGCTTCTCTGGGTTTTAGATGGGAGAAGATGGGGCCTTAGGAAAAAAGGCCCCTCAGGGTTCTGGGGGCAAGGTAGGTAAGTGAAGACCTAGGTGGGCAGAACTCGAAGCAGGGAAAGTCTAGACAGCCACAGACCCCAAAGTGTTCACTGCCAACAAGCAGCCACAGCCCCTGGAGGCAGGACAGGCTGCCCCTGATGGCCCCAGGCCCCACCACTCCCTACAGCCTCACACCAAAAGCCTTATTCATGCACATCTCTTACTGGTCCCCATAGGCATTTAGCTGGCAGCCTCTTAGAAATCCACAGGCATGGGTCTCCTAAACACACCCAATCCACAGGCTCCTTCCCATAATCTCCTGCACCTCCCCTTACACCTAACCTTCAATGGCAGAAAATTCAGCTGACCCTGGAATTAGAGGCTACCTCCTGCAAAGAGCGTACACCTACCCAGGAGAAGAGTCAGAACTTTTTATGTGGGGCGCCTGCCAACTGTGTGATGTTTTGTGGAGTTATATTGAATAATTGACAATCCATCTGATTCGCATTGTTCTCCTATTACCAGACATCTGCTTATCATCTTCCTATGTGTGTATAAAATGCCGACATGTCAAACTTGGGGGGAAAGCATCCTCAGAACTTATTCATGAAGAAATAAATCATAAGTGATGATGAACTCAAAATGACATGAATTGTTATTTTCACTTTAAATATTTGTCCATTTGAACAGCTCCCTTTAAAAACGAATACATTTTCTTTTTAAAATTATTAATCCTTGATCAATATAAGATACCTTAAGTCCAGAAAGCCTTTGAATAAACCAGTGATGGACATTTTCCGAGCTGTCATCTGCAAACACGGAATGGCTGCTGGCTTCGTGGATTCCAGCTTTTGGAGACAGAGGCTCAAAGGCTGGCAGCGCACAAGCTACATCTGCTCATGGATGTGTTTTGCTTGGCAGGCAAGGTTTCATATTTTTAAAATATTAGCTCCAACATTTATGAAATCGGATCATTTCACATAAGAATCCCAATGTCTGGCTTCTCTGGGTTTTAGATGGGAGAAGATGGGGCCTTAGGAAAAAAGGCCCCTCAGGGTTCTGGGGGCAAGGTAGGTAAGTGAAGACCTAGGTGGGCAGAACTCGAAGCAGGGAAAGTCTAGACAGCCACAGACCCCAAAGTGTTCACTGCCAACAAGCAGCCACAGCCCCTGGAGGCAGGACAGGCTGCCCCTGATGGCCCCAGGCCCCACCACTCCCTACAGCCTCACACCAAAAGCCTTATTCATGCACATCTCTTACTGGTCCCCATAGGCATTTAGCTGGCAGCCTCTTAGAAATCCACAGGCATGGGTCTCCTAAACACACCCAATCCACAGGCTCCTTCCCATAATCTCCTGCACCTCCCCTTACACCTAACCTTCAATGGCAGAAAATTCAGCTGACCCTGGAATTAGAGGCTACCTCCTGCAAAGAGCGTACACCTACCCAGGAGAAGAGTCAGAACTTTTTATGTGGGGCGCCTGCCAACTGTGTGATGTTTTGTGGAGTTATATTGAATAATTGACAATCCATCTGATTCGCATTGTTCTCCTATTACCAGACATCTGCTTATCATCTTCCTATGTGTGTATAAAATGCCGACATGTCAAACTTGGGGGGAAAGCATCCTCAGAACTTATTCATGAAGAAATAAATCATAAGTGATGATGAACTCAAAATGACATGAATTGTTATTTTCACTTTAAATATTTGTCCATTTGAACAGCTCCCTTTAAAAACGAATACATTTTCTTTTTAAAATTATTAATCCTTGATCAATATAAGATACCTTAACTGAAGCTTAAATCTTCCCCCAAATCCAATATGGATCGGATTTCTTTTGGCAATTTCAAAATCTATTGGAAAGGCAGCCATAACCTTATCAGGAGGGAAAAAAATTACCAAGAATGATTACAGAATAGAAGAAATACCTGCTTCTTATCTTGCGTTTTCTTAAAATCTTCACAAGCTAGCCAAAATAAAACATTTTCTTCACTGAATTCCTTTTTTAAAAATTCCTATGGATGAAAAGAAGAAAAAAATATCAAACAGTATTTTACTTTAAAACGAACAAATTAATGCATTTCCCCTTTAAGGACTGATTCGGCAAACTTCAACAAATGAGCATGGTCCCATCACCCCACGAAAACTCCACCCTGAAAAACAAAGTGTATGTTTAATGTTAAAGGGAGAATTTAATATGCATTTGAACTTAATGGCTTTGACATAGTAAGAAAGAGTAAAAATGAAGCCAGGATCTACTCATGATTCTAAGCTGACAATAAATTACCAAAGAGTAAATTAAAGTGGAAGATAGATTAATTCCTTCCAGACAGTGTTTAAACAAAGTACATTCCTCTAAAATCAGGCCCTTTTTTTTAAACAAAAGAAAAGAAAACATATTAAGCATGTCTAAAAATGCCATGATGAAAACTATTTTAAGTTGGAGGTGTGTTTTCTTTCGGCAAATGTTGGAGATTAGTGGCACAGCCAGCGGTTCTGCTGTGGGCAGGAAAGTGACCCTGAGATCTGACAACACTCAGCGTGGCCTAGTGTCCAGGAATGTTAGCAGCCCTGCCCGCCACCTACCTCCCTGGGCATGGCAACAGGGATCGAAACGATGAAGGCTTAACCTGGCCTGACCTGACACTTAAAGACAAAAGCTGGTGGGACTCGGCAATACAGGATATTCTTGAAATTCACATGTGGTTCTTGTGACACCTGGGGTTTCCTCTGGCCAAAAAGGTTATTTCTAGGAAGCACCCACACTTCCCCATCCGTCAGCACCCCCCCTTTGGGTTCAACTTTACTTTTTGCCAGCTGTTGTCCAGCCTCTCTCAGTCTGCTACTAATGGATCCTGAGAACCCCCAACACACAAGAGAACAAATTTCAGATTAGAGAGACCCAGACCAACCCATCCTAGGTGTCTCAGAGCTGGAAATTCTTCGTAGACTCTGCCAGTGAGCATGGTGGCCTCTTCTATACCCCACCCCCACACTCACCCCCCATCCAACTGTATAAACACCAGAAGCTATTTATGCCCCTTGGTGCTGGATCACGGCTACCCAGGAAAGAATGACCTTGGTCACGCCAGGTGAGTTCTTATTCTCAAGTTGGGACAGACAGTGTACAAAAGTAGCCTGTGCTTCCCCCATATGCATCTAAACTTCTTCACATATTCCCGGCAGTCCCCATACATCCTTCCCCACCCACCCACATGTCCAACTTGCAGGCAGCCCTCCAGTCTCACTCAAGCCGTCCTCCCAGGGACCTGGACCTTGACAGTGGCCTTCCCCATTACATTCTGCGCAGTCATATAATTAGCATGCTGTGCTGTGACTATTTGCTTTACTGACACTCACTAGTCTGAAAGCTTCTGTATATCCTCTCTTACAGCAGCATGTAGCTCATTGTCTGATACATAGAAGTACGTACCAGAGCCAGGCCTAGGGTGCAAAGGGAGGCACTGGGCCACAGGTGCACAATTTAAGGGGGTTGCCCAAAAACTCAGGCATCAAGATAAGTGATACTTTCATGCAGTATTTTGAAAAACCAAAATTAATGCAAAAAATCCACAATGAATAAAATATCAAAACTTTTTAAAAAGCTGGGATTGATACCGAATTTTCCTTCTTTTTTTTGCCTCCAACTCCAGTATGGCTCAGCATCACACCCTTACTACCTGTTTAGACTGAACAAATGAATGACTCTGTATCTGCACATACACTGTGCTCACTCAAGACACCTAAAAAACCTCTCAACCAAAGGACAGGGGACAGGGAACCTCCATCTAATGCCTTTTGGCTTCTCTCTGAAGGAGGAAGTGACAGCATAATTGGCATGTCTCATTCTACAGAATTTGACCCTTTCCTAGAGTCAAGGAAAAAGTCTGGGCTGTTACATCAGATGGCTCTGGTTCCAAACCCCGTTTGGCTGATTCAAATTGGGTGACCATTGGCAAAATTCTGTGCAGAAGATGAAAACAGTTCTCCCTCTCAGGTTATCTGCAGGATTAAAAGAGGAAATGCATCCAGCACCCAGCCTCTCACACTGGACTCTCAGCAAATGTTAGCTCCTCCCTCCCCTTCCTTAAAACAATGTTCTGTCAACGAACTATTTTTTTCTCTATTGCCTTTTTTTCGAAGTGGAGACATATTTCCACAAACTAAGTTTGAATCTAGGAGAAAAAAAACTTTTAATTAAGAAATCAGCAACACAAATCACTTTAAAAAGACAAATGAAAACCAGTCTAATAAATATTAATTGCTGTAAATAGCAAGGGGGCTATTTAAAACCTTTTTTGGAGGAAAGGTGTAGCAGAATACACTGGGCTTAATAGTAACTCGGCTTCCATGATCTCTCGTGTTCCGCTGGGGGTCAACAAACATGTTAATTTCTCAAAGCAGCTGAGACTCATCTGCCAGCATCTGGGAAAACTACCTGGATTTTAGACACTCACTGGCTGACTTGGGCTAAATAAAACGGAAGCCAGAAGCCCAGTGGGGGGCTGTGTTTCAATTCGGAGTGGTGACGAGCAACTAAGAGAATTGTTTGGGACACATCCATTCCTTTAATGGAGAAGCGAACTCACTCAGATACATTACAAATGGACCTGACCCTTGTCTAAAGTGAACCTTCAGTTCGCAGATATTAAATTAGTTCCCTGCTCTCTTTGCAAATGTTAGAACAGCAAGCTTCTGAACACTAAGTTTCTTCCCAACAAAGTAAAAATCAAATTAAAAGATCATTACTATAAGAAATTTCTGCAACAGGGTTCATTCTGCCAAGCATTTCACTAATTTACTCTTCTGTTCTTTACCCAGAGAATACAGTTTGACAGTTTACTCCATTTCCCCAGCAGATCTTCTGTTAAGTAAATAAATGTAGAGACACAAGTTCACTGTTCCAGGAACAATCTTAGGCAGCCGCAGATTTCTCTTGCCATTGCAGACAAACTACTTTGCCCATAAGTTTTCCACCTTGGGCTGAAAGGATTCCAAAACTCTTGACGTTCTTTTCAGTAATAAACCAAACCACATTTGGGTTTTCACCACCATGCTGCCTTGCAAATAAATACATGTGGTGGCTTCCCATTTAACCAAAAGAGTGCTCTGGTTAACCAGATCTTCTGGTTAACTGAGAGATAAGAGTTGGCCTCACCATTAGACAACTGCTACCTCTGCCCACCCTTTATTTCATACTCTAATCATTTTTCACATTACGTTTCTATGCCAGCTTTCCCTTGAACAAAAATTTTACAATTCAAAAGCCCTTAATCTGATCCAGTCTCCTTATTTTATAGACTGGAAATAAAGGTCCAGAGGGTAAAATGACCTACCAAGGTACCCCAGCTAAGGAACTGCTGGATGGAATCAGTATTAGGACTTGAGTTTAAGGGCAACTGCCCCCACCAGGACCATGTCCACAGAACCACAGGGCTACTGGGACACAGCAATTTGTAAATGAGTGGCCCTTCCTTTAGATTTTCTCCTGGGCCACCATCTCCCAACCATCAAAAGGAATGAAATATATGTCCCGCTGGCCCTGTCACTGAAGGGCACAGAATTTTGAGGGCTGGCCCAGTAATCACCGAGATACAGCTCCTTTCCACAGCTACCATTATTGGTTTCTGGCTTTGGGGCCTTGGATAAAGAGAAAAACCTTCTTGCCTTTTTACCCACCTTCTGCGCCCAAAGTTTTTCCTATAGGAATCTTCTACCCATGCTGTCTGTCATATATTTTCATTTTCCTAGAAATATTGTTTTGAAGAAATATTGTTCCAAGTCCTCCTGGTTGTATTTCAATTTTTATTAAGGCTTTTGGCTGTGCATTTTTTTTTAATCTTCTTGATTGGTATCAATATAGATGGATTGATATATATCCAGATATATATCTGGATAGAACTGCGTTTGCAAACCCCATTCACTTAATGGGGTCTCTCTGTTTCAAGTCATTATTCCCAGCCTCCAGTAAGACCAAGCCAAGGTCCACTCCACTGGCACTGCCCTAGAGATCACCCCTTAAATTGGGGCATTGCTGTTACTCGGGGTCCCCTACTCAGGAGACTCACCCTATTTTCCAATGCATGTAAGCAAGGATTCCTAAGGTGAGTTCACTTCAAATGTTATAATCAGTCCAATAATGTTTAGGAGAAAGAAAGAACCTTTCTCCATAGAAAGCAGGTTTACTTCTGAACTGAAGAATAAAGCAAAACCGAGAGTCCCCAGCCTTCCAACTCCTGGCACTTGAAGTTACAAAGGTCTGATACTTTTTCTTTCCTTTTTCATTGATCAAAGTTTCTATTTTATTTTAGATGGATTACAAGAAAGTAGTTTTGGAATGCACAGGTGGAAAAAATTTAAGATTTTCCTAGCAGCTTTAAGACCACTTCAGCTAGTAAGGAGGTTTGGTGATAATATTTGCTTGTTTTAATTCTGCTGTTTCCATTTTTGCCTTCTGGCCTCTTTACAGCAATTTAGGTCTTCAGACTGCTGCAGGTGCAACACTTATTTTTCAATAAATTTATCTGCAGATTAATCTGTCATTAACTAATAATAAGTTAACACTCATGGATGCTTTACAGTGTGTTGGGTACTGTCCAAAGCATTTTCCATGGGTAAGTCACCCACTTCTCACAATGACCCTCCGATATTGCTAATATTATCCCCACTTCACAGATGAGAAAACTGAGGTGCAGTGACTTGCAAGGGCCCTCCAGCTAGGAAACGGGGAATCATGGTCCAAACACAGGCAGTGCTGCTCCTGAGCACAGGCTCCTAGCACAGGCTCAACTGCCATGTTTGTTTTTGATACCTGCTGATCTGCACACTCAGAGGCTAGAACACGACGCCTCGAAGAGAATAATGTGTGAAAACACTAAGAAACTGAGAAAGAAACCAATTCCACCCAGATGAAAACCCATATAACCCTGGACCAGAATCATCTAGCATGCAAACACAATGTACATGTGATCTCCATTTATGTTTTTTCTGTTCTATGTGGTTTCTGACTTCAATAAAAGCCATTATTTCAAAGACAGGCATCATAGTGCAGTGCAGATGGTTGACGCCGGTTGCCTGCAGCACATTGCGTAATGCATTATTTATAGATGCTGTGATGTCATATCTATCAGAGACCTCCAGACATTAATTCCTTGGGAATCCATACTCAAAAGGCATCTGTAACGCTCATCAGAACTGAATGCTTATAGCATAGGTCCCTGCCATTAGTCTGCAGGAAGGTCTGGGTAATGATCCTTCAGAGACAATTTCCCCAAATCAATAATATTGTAGTAAAATCTCAATATCCAGCTTCCTCAACTGCAGAGTCAACATATAGCCTCAAAGGGTCTGTCCTAAGTACCTCCCAAATTGACAGCACATTAAGGAAACAACCTAAGCATCAAGCTCAGGCAAAGGCAGAAATGTTAACCCTAAATTCTAAAGTAGTTTGGTACAAAATGCACATGTGCACACTGCTTGAAAATACTTGAGGAAAGTGCACATCCCACAAAACTAATTAAAAACCTTATAGTATCTATACCACATCAAACATACTACATTAAAAGAAGAGTCATCCCAACTTAGAAGCAGAGAAGCAGTTTGTTACAAATGGTGATCTATGTAAGGCTCCAAAGAAACTGGGTCATGGAAGAACACTATCTAAACATTACTTAAGTGTTTATAGGCTCTAGTATCTAGCTTCTGGGAATAACTACCCTTCAGACATGCAATTCCCTTAGTGGGGAGGCTTGTGTGAACTGCAATTAGCAGAAAATAGTATAAAAATGAAAAAACTTAAAAATAAAATAATCATCATCATAGTAACCATCAAAGATGAGAGCAGCCAAATGCACTGCAGAGGGTTGACTCGGCTCAGAAACGGCATCGTGGCGTTTTTCACATGAGGTCTGAGACCTCAAAGAAAATCAAATGCTCAGGCAGCACCTCCCCGGTGTGCCTAGATCTGCACCCCACACTCCCCCAGACCCCGCCCCTCTGGACCACCACCTGGGCAAAGGGTGAGCTGAGCACATCTGCCGAAGCAGGTGGAGGCCATGCCTTACGGTCCATGCGATGGGTCCACCTGGGAAGTTCAACACAACAGACAGAAAAGCCACTGCCTTCTCAGAGCTACTATGTAAGACAGGCAGGGGCTACAGGGCTCCCGAGCACCCGTGGGTCTGAAGGAAAAACAAGCCTCAACATCCTCTTTTGACTGGACTGAACAACAGATGGCCACTGGTTTACAGTTTCCACCAGAGAGAAGGAAATAAGAACGCTGGACTGTTGTTTGCAGCCTCCCTAGAATCCTCACTTTCTAGGCAAAGGCCCAGAAAAAATAAAATTACCCAGGAATCCTACCCTGGGGAGGGAAATGAAGACCCCACCATTCTTTTCTTCACTTCCAGGCAGCCCCTGTGCTTCCCCTGGGACCTGACATCAGGCAGACAACTGGTCTTGTCTCCCCCAGCACCTGCCTCCAGGCAAATCAGTGACTGTGTCCCTCCAGGGTCAGTGAGGGAGATGGGGCATTTCTTGAGCATAAAAGCTGTGTCTCCTCAGGAACAGCGTCTGCACTCACATGTAGATTTCTGTTGATAAATGTTCCTGCTGGAGTGGAGGCAGGGCAGGGAGGACGACGGTTATAGAAACAGCTAGCACCTACTCCCACCTCCTTCACAACAGCCTTGGAGGCCGGGCCATTGCTGGCCCATTTTACAGATGGGGAAACTGAGGCACCAAGAGGCTAGCCACCCAGCTGGGATTCAGCCCTAGTTGTCTGACTGCAGAGCTGGAAAGGGAAGGGCAGTGAGGGATGCAAGCAATGAAAGGTGGGGCCCTTTCTCTCATGGAACTTAAAATTAATTGAGAAGATGAGACCGGGAGTTCCCAGATGGCTGTCTGCCCACAGTGCCCCAGGCTGGCATGGCGTCTCCTTCACTGGGCCATGAAGAAATGAGAATAAGGATAAGTAAATACTTACCAAGCAAGCTGTGTTGATACACTAAGGGCAACCTCGGGTTTTTTTTTTTAAGTCAGTAATTGTATTTACTTATATGGTGCAAAATTCTAGAGATTAAAAAGGGAGCACCATGGAGCAGGCCTTTCTGTCATCTCTGCTACGCAGTACCTGGCCCTGGAGGCAACACCCTCTAGAAGATTCTTTGTATAAGGACAGTTCTTGACATGCGATTATATCTTTCCTGCTACTGGGGTTAAAATGTCCTTTCATTCACGGAATGATCCAGATAGTTGATGACGGTGTTGTCTTTAATGTTCTGACTGGAGACAGGAAGGAAAGAGAAAAGGAAGAGGGAAGGAAGCAAGGCAGGGAGGCAGGGAAGAGAAAAGCCGCCAGCTAGCCAGTCCCTACATGTGCTCTAACGAGAGGACTGAATGGGCGCTGGCTGAGGTCATGCAGCTCTGGACGTGGGTCAGAGATTTGAGCTCTCTGGTCTGTCCCTTCCGCAATGGGCACTCCAGATGAGTCCCTGCCCCTTGGTGGCCTCTGCAGCTGTCCCGGGAGAGACGAAATGGACAGGCTACATTTAGACAGACAGGGAGGGAGGCTGGAGGCCTGGGGCAGCGGGCCTGCTGCAGCAGGGAGACCCAGCGCTGGGAGAAGACGAACGGCAGAGGACACCGTCAAGGAGCAAAGCACAAAGGCGAGAACATCCTGCCCCGGAGAGCAGAATGGGGAGCTGGGGAGGTGGGACCAGGAGAGAAGTCAGGCCAGAGTCAGGGCTGCTGAGCCCCTCGCAATGGGGGCAGCAACGCTGACCCACAGGCATTTGGCAGGGCCCTCGAGAGATGCGAACTTGTTTGGAAGGGAAATTTGTCCTAGGAAGTCTGCAAGGGACTGTTTCACTCCAGAGGCTGGCCTCTGACAGCTCTTATCGAGGAGCTGCTGCTGTCGCCTGCCTGGGCCCCCACTACCCCCACTGCCACCCCCAGGCTGCTGCAGTGAAGAGCTATCTGGGGGAAGCAGAAGAAACTGGTGAGAGTAAATTTAGTACAACTTAAACATCAAGTTCCCAGAGCCCAGCATCAGGGGGCCGAGGGGATTATTCAACCCCAGGGAGGGAAGTGACTCAGTTCAACCCGGAAGCCCTAGGAGATGGCCCAGCCAGGCACCTGCCTGGTTTTCCAAAATTTCCAACAATGAGGAAAGGAGATATCAGTTGAAATACAAAGTCAGTCAAGGCAAATAAACTGCCATTAGGATGTCACACCCCCAGTCTGTGGCTGCTCTTGGTGACCTTCAATGCTGGCACCATGGACTCAGCTGGCTTGTGGACTGACCACATTTGTATAAAACAACACCCCTCAGCCCCGCCTGGCCTCTCTGTCCCTGCTCAGCTCTCCCTGAACCCAGCAGGCCCAGGCCAGTGATGTTCTGCAGGGAAAGTTTCCCCAGCGGCCAAGACCGTCCTGCTGCCGGGTTGTTAAAACAAAGACTTTAAATTGCTATGTCAACTGTCATCTTTAAATAAAAACTTAAGCCCAGCCATAAATCTGAAACTGGTCCCAAGGGTTTAATGGGATAATGTACAACAGGCCAGGGGCAGGGCCCAGGCCTGCTGGCACTTGGGGGATTCCCCTGACTGGTCACCCCTCGGCCTGGTCCCAGCAGGTGGAAGGCTGTGGCCTGCCAGTGTTTTTCAGGTGAGTAGCAATGGTGTTTTCATCACTGCAAAGGTGGTGGACAGAGCCCTTCAAGGGGTCCTCACCCCCAGCAGCATAAGAACCAACCAGGGTGCTTACTGAAGACACAGCCTACTCTCCCTTCCTCTCGGGTCCCCAAAACTGAAGAGGAGAGTCTCGGTGTGGCCAGAAAGTCGCATTTTATCAAGTCCCTCCTCACCTCTACGTGGTTCATGAACACACTTTGAGAAATCTCAGAAAAGAGAATAAGGGATTCCCGCTTCAAACCATGGAATCAGGGGTTAAGAACTCCAACACCGCAGTTTAAAGACATGATCTCCAAGATTTTGCTGAAAAACAGGAAAGGTCTAAGGTAGAAGGTGCTGGGGACACAGGACTGAAGCCAGGTCCAAAATCAGGAGTCCTACAGGGGAGGAGCTTATACAATTTGGAGAGTCATTTTATGAAAAATAATTCAGATTACCAAAAAACAAAAGCGATACAAAACAAAACCTCAGTACAGGTTTCCAGGGATCACTTGGCTGGCTTCCCAGTACCTCGGCCTCTGGGCCCATATTTTCCTTTTCACTCGGCTCTTTTCCAGCTGCTGGTGATGACTAAACTGACAGGGGCTTATTTGTCCTTTCCCACTGGGGGCAGACTTTAAACCTAAAAATCCTAAGGAATTTGGGCTCTGGGAGGCCAGTCACCCAATACCAATCCATGGTATTTAGCTATTGAGCTTTCTATCAGTGACCTAACCACTCTTCATCAGGCTTAACATTTGCTGCCCTGAGAGAGCCACAGTCCACTAAAATTGCCCCAGTTTTTCTGGGGTACAACCTGCCCCATGCCACAACATCCCAACTCCCCAACACCATGCGTTGTCCCATAAAGTTGTTTTATTTAGAAGACTTCAGCCCCCGCAATGATCCAAAGTAATGAATGACCCATGCAGAGATGTTCATAGCTATTTATAATGAAAAAAGGAGGAAAAGATGACAGCTAGCCATTATTATTCATTTATTATATGCCAGGCATTATACTAGGGACTTCATATGTTTTATGTATTTAATCCCATAATTCTATGAAACCCACTTTACAGATGGGAAAACGGATGCATAGGTGTGTTGGTAAACCAGCTCTCCTAGGAGGAAAAAAAAAGCTCAATTTTTAGCATTTGTTGAGTTTTGTTGATTTCTGTCATATAAATATCTATGGATAGCCAATTTCAAGATATCTATGATTTAGCAACCAGCTCTCAAATTTCCCAGTAACTTAGGAATTGGACAGGTCAAGTAACTTGCCCAAGGTCAATAGAGTCAGGGTGGGAAGGTGGGAAGCAGGGGTCTAACTGCAGAGTCCAGGCTCTGACCACTGCTTCATAGGCCTGTGGGTCCCCAACAACAAGGAGTGCCTAAAATGAACCACCACGAGGGAATCCTTTGTCCCGCAGGCAATACAGCAAAGTGTACATGACCCCTAACACTAGTAATAAACTCTTTACAATAACCCTATGAAGTCTTACCTCATTAGGGTTGAAATCCTACTTTATTAGGTTTGTCCTAAATATTAAATGCAATGATGTGTATCATCTGATGGATGGGAAACCCACTCCAATTAAGTTCTCAAAGAGACACAGCTCTTACATTCCCATTTTGCAGACCCTTGTCTGCAGAGACACAGAGATTCCAGACCTTTGTCTGCAGAGACACACTAGCCTTGTGGTGGAGGTGGGATTCCCGCCCCTGCCAGTGTCGTTCCAGTTCATCCTCTTAACCACCAAATCCCTCATAAAATATTACATTAGATGAGAAAAGGTCACGGACCACCATGTACAAACTTGGAAATGCAGAAGTGCTTTTTGGAATGGGAGGCAGCAGAAAAGCCCCTGAACTCCAAAGTCAGGCAAACCCGTTTGAAAGATTCTCCATCACCTCCTAATGTGACTTGGGGCAAGTTACCTAACAGCTCCTGGCTTCAGTTCCTCCTCTAGAAAGTGGCGGTGACAGTATCAAAGAACACAGATCAGGGTCACATTAGGCGGTCAAAGGGGCATAGCTATCATTAACAAAAAGGGTCAAATGGTCGGAATCCAGGGCACAGCTTTTATCTTCTCTGTGGGTTCTCTGTCCTATCAAATTGCTCCAAAGTGTGACTCAGGCTGGTCCAGAGTGACGGCCAAGCCGAGTCCTTTGTAATGTCAGCGCTTGCCTGCAGCGAGCATAGATGTGTCTGCTCCACCCGCCCTGCTTCGCGGCTCCACAGTTCGGCTCCGCAGCGCAGAACCCAAGCCCAGGCCCGGCGGACAGTCGGATGCCGGGGTCCGGAGGTGCCTTGTCCGGGCGCCGCGCGAGCATCACTTGCACCAACGCCCGTAGCAGAGGCAAAGTACTGCGGACGGGGAACCCGCGCGACGTTCTGCT